TGCGATTTCACCATTTGCGTAAAACTCCGATGTTCCGCGAGCTTTACGTCCAAGAAAAAGTCCAGTTAATCGCAATGAAAAGGAAAATGACATTAGTTTATGTCATCACCTAGATGCTATCGATTTTGTTGCGAGAAACTCGAAAAATTCAATTTTCAGCATACATGATAAAGGAACTTTATAAGACCTCCCAACTTGCATACTGGTGGAAAATGAATTCTCAATATTAGTTGTTAGGCATGAAAATTATTGGGAACTATATAGTTAGGATTTAGATTATGAAAGTTTTTCCCGGACAAGACTGAACGTTCAGAGTGATGCGAATCAGCCTGTGTTTGGTTCGGAGGGATACAATGGAAAGTAAAATCGGTTACATCCCGGCAGGAAGTGAGGAGGTGGTCCCGGAGGAACAGGAGGAAGCATAGGGAACCATCTTCCACCATTATGATGAAATTGTCCCAAGATGAACCATCGTTTCTCGAAGTCCGAATACGTCGTTCGCGACCACGAGTCCGAAGTTTCGGCTGCGATCACATTAATGAAATATAAGTTATTATTGTGAATAAACCCTTTGTTCTTAACCCATCACTTTTGGTTATTCTTATTTAAATGGATTATTTTTTCCACGCAGCTCTCCACTGCATCTGGCAAGATGAACCATCGTTTCTGGAAGTCCGAATACGTCGTTCGCGAACATTTTAGCTAGAGATCCGGCAACACGGACACGAGCCGATCATATTCCACTCGCGCGCTAGACTGTCGCCGAGCATTACCTAATTAGGATTTCGCGCTCACGAATTGCACTTATTTAGTCTTTCTGCCGAGTGTCCAACTTTTGTCAGCGAGTTCTGTCCCCTCTCTGGTCCAACTTGCGCCTATGACGCAACTTGGCCCGGGTCATTTGTCACTATGAAAGCTCGGTCACCTGAGCCCAATTTAATCGTCGTCTCTCGTTGGAGATCCCCGTTAGGCCCGGTTCCCTCTACCGTTACCTATACGTTTCTACCCATTTTATGTGTTAGTTGTATTCGTTCCTGTGAATTTAATAAAACTCATTGTATTCGTACTTAGATCTTATTAATTTATCCCGAGCTTTATGGTCTGGCGCAGTTGCCGCTCCGCTACTTAATTAGCCCCAACTTAACTTATACACACAAGAAGACACCCGAGGACGACCCGAAAACAGTTGGCACCATGCTTTCTGGAATCGCTTACCAGACAAGCAAGATACGGAAGATTAAGGCCTCTCGCCTATATTGTGGAGGCCAAGAGGTCGGCCTGTGTTTGGTTCGGAGGTATACACTGGAAAGTAAAATTTGTTACATCCCGGCAGGTCCCTTTGGGTGATGAGTTTAGTCTCTCGGGCGGAGGCTTCCAGCTTTCTTACCAGAAATCGGATTTTCGGGAGATCGCGTTTCAGTGAGTGTGAGGGGGGCCTGAATGGGATTCTAACTGTGTGCGGCTCTTCCTAGGGGCCCCTGGGAGGGAAAATAGACAAATTCATAGAAAATATTATTGGCACCGCTTGTGGAGGAGGAGGAGGATGCCAAGGTGGAAGCAGCGCAAAAGCTGAAGGAAGAAGAGGAGAAGCTTAAAGCTGCCGGCAAGTCCTCAACTTCATCTGGAGGTGGAGCAGGCTCAACGGATAGTGTAGCCACAACAGACGCAAATTGCCCTAGATTATCTTTTATTATAAAATGATTGTCACCAGCTGATTGTTTCAATCGCAGTTCCAGATAAGTCCCCTCTTGATGGTACCGGTTCCCTTCATCATTACTCGTGTCCCAAATAACAATGCAATGGTAACAATGGATGCAAAAATGATTCGTACTTACGGATATATTTTTTGTATTTTAGAGTTTATTAATAGCTTTACGGAAGCAATAATACTGAATTTAGACAAATGTACAAAGCTGGTCATTATGGAGTACAGCGAAGCAAATGTGGGAATGTTTGAAAAAATAATTAAATTCATCAATAAAAGAAATCAAACAAAAAGACGTCCTACAATCATTTCAATAAAGAATGGATGGATGTGTGTATGCGGAGCGAAAGGATAATGGCCAGTCCTACCGGTTAGTGCTCTGGTTGTAAAACTTTATTATTGTGAATAAACCCTTGGTGTGCGTCTTAAACCGTCACTTTTGGTTATTCTTATTTAAATGGATTATTATTTTTTCCACGCAGCTCTCCACTGCATCTGGCAAGATGAACCATCGTTTCTGGAAGTCAGAATACGTCGTTCGCGACGTTGAGTCCGAAGTTTCGGCTGCGATCACATTGATGAAATATACGTTATTATTGTGAATAAACCCTTTGTTCTTAACCCATCACTTTTGGTTATTCTTATTTAAATGCATTATTATTTTATTATCATATTATATTTTATATATATAAGTATTATTCCACGTTCCCTGACAATAACGTTGTTACGGCCCGATCAGACTTCAAAAATAAGATTTACTCCTGTGAAGCAGTCAATGATGTGTGCTGTGTCGTAGGAAAGTTGTTTGCTTCCGACAACGTCGTTACGGCAGGCTTTCAATTTGATGCTCCACTGTTTGTTTTTGCCATTGCACCATTTGAGTATAACTCCGATGTTTCGCGAGCTTCAGATTTCGCGAATCTGCTCGGTGTTACTATTAAGGAAACTGAGGACAATAGGAAAACAAACTAAGAAAAACAAGGAGGACAGCGAAAAACAACTACCAGAGATTCAAACGGAAGGTTTATCGTGCGGCTGCTTTTCAAAGAGAACCCTAACGTACTGGCTCTCAAGCCCTGGCGCAGTTGTTGCCTCCTGCAAAACCTACCGAGAATTTAACTTATATTGGGGCGACAGATGTGAACGGGCATCTAGTGCTGAAAATAAGAAGTTCAATTCCTTTGCAGATGAAGGAACTTCCGCGGTTGAAGCTACAATGAAAGCCAAACTATTTTCATTCAAACATGTTACATATGTTTGCTCTAGTGTATAGAGAGTAGATGTGAGATTTAACTCGGACAGTGTAATAGACTATGATAGCCGTATTGCATCAATACTTAGAAAGAGTCCAGTTAATCGCAGTGAAAAGTAAAATGACATTATTTTAGGTCATTACCTAGATGCTATCGATTTTGTTGCGAGAAACTCGAAAAATTCAATTTTCAGCATACATGATAAAGGAACTTTATGAGACCTCCCAACTTGCATACTGGTGGAAAAAGAATTCTCAATATTAGTTGTTAGGCATGAAAATTATTGGGAACTATATAGTTAGGATTTAAATTGTGAAAGTTTTTTCCGGACAAGGCTGAGCGTTCAGATTGATGCTATTCAGGCATACGCCACAGCTGCAATCAAAGCTTTAGGCCTGTCAGGTCTAGGATGTTTCACTTTATTTTTCAGGAGTTTGATCAAGTATTGAATCCAATCTGATGACATGTTCATAAAAATGTTCAACTTTTTCAGACATTCAAGGCTGTAATCTATTCTTTCTGATTTATTCTCAGGGTTGAAGAAGTTCCCTGACGTTCCTGCCTATGAAAAGGAAAATGATACGAGATATGATGATGAAAAAAAGCATCCTTCAAAACTTGGACTCTCATATTTGGATGAATTGATTACGAAATCTACACATTTCACACATTCTTACCTGACAATGTATACGACGTTATTACGAGAGCTAAACAGTGGGACTCGAACCGGGAAAACGTTAATCCGCATTCGCAAAATGCGAAAATTAAACAAATTGAAGGGATACCGAGAGAAGTCGTAAAATTTTTGTTTGAGATTGATGGAAGGCCACCCAAAACTAAACATTTAGGAAAAAATCTTTTCAACCTCCCTAATCTGACAATTCGTCTAGACCGTCTTCAATCAGTTCTGATGTCCCTAAATGAACGGCAAGTATCCAATTTTTTAAAAGTATACAAAAAGTTCCAGCCTCTAGTTGACAAAGCTTCCAGTAAAAATTGGAACAGCATTTCAAACCAATATTTTGACGATTTAAATAGGTTTCTTTTACGCACAGAGAAATTAAGTGTGGAAGATACTTCTCGTGTATCAATGGAGGTGTTGTCAAGTTTTGCGAAAGATAAAAATAAAATAATGTCATTTTCCAGAGTAGGGGGATTTGCAGGTCAATATTATTTTATTCTGCCCGACGTAGTAAAAGCTGTAAATGGTAACCCCGACCCATTAATAAATTTGTCAAAGATGCTTATCTGGGATGAGTTATTCAATAGATTTATAGCAAGGAATTCTCCCTTAAATGGCAAATTGAAAATGTTATCATTCAGTCCAGTCTTCAAAACCCTCACCTTCACTTCCATACTTGAATTGCATAAAGAATTGGCCGAGGAACCATCTTGCACGGATCAATATGTCTATTTAAAAAAACAGTTAATAATACAGTATATTACTGCGTCACTAATTGTAGCAAAGCAGTTTTTTCCCCCCTTGGCATATTTCTGGTTACCTGTGTTTTTTGAGCAGATGTATACGGAGATCCAACACGTAAAGAGACAAATGAGGTTAAGTGTGTCAAATTATGAGGCATTTCTCATTACTCTCGGCTTCAGGAAAGATCAACTAGCGCAAACTGACCTATTAAGGCAATTAGTCGCAATGAATTTAAATTTATTGAAAATCTACAGACCCATTTTTCAAAAGGATATTATGATTTCGTCATAATAAAAGTGCCGTTTATTCATTATAAGAGTAATTTACCAACAGTAGCGGAAACAAATGTGCGGATATCTTATGGGGATTCAAACTCATATACTTGCCCTGAAACCACGGTTTTCCCAGCGGAAAACGTCACAACGTCATGGTGTTCAATTTGTCCGAGTGAGTATGTTACTTTAACATCAACGTTTCTGGACGGGTATCAAAAGGTTTCGAGTTCAGAGTACCCTAGCGATGAAGATGATGATTGCGTATACGCCAGTCCCGTTAAAATGACAGGGAATTATGTGGCTTTATATAGAGGTCTGCATACTAAAAGAAGGCGCTGCGATGACCCAATACTAAAAACTTTATTAAACTCAACTAGAACGGTATTTACACATTTTGATCCTTCTGAGGGAAATTTAAACATTTATATTGATGAGGCAGGGTTAAAGTTCATGGAAAATGGGGAATTTGGTAGAACCCACGCAGATAAAGGTTTTTTTTCTCGATTGCAGAATTTCTTTACACAAGGAAAATTTCAGTCAGATTATGAGGCAGCGATGCGTGGTTTTCCTGATATCCCTAGAGCCCCACAAAACTTTGATTTCATAACCATTATTTCGGACAAACCCTACGCAAGGCTCTTACAAAAGAAGCACTCTATATTTACTTTGGCGTGCAATGATGCGCCTGCAACAAGTAGATACATTGTAGGCCTTTCCCTTCCATTTATACTAAATGATTCATGTCCTCTGACTCAGATAGATGTGCTGAGCGTGGAGCCGGAAAATGTGTTTTATCTTCACGGCACTACATCGCTGATGTATTATGGAAGTAAAAGTACAAAAATCAATGAAATCATATTGAATAATACCAGCACATTCATTTTAAACTTGAACAACACACTTATAGGTCGGCTGTTTATAGACAAGCGTTTTACGACTATAAATTTGGGGGAAAATCTACGGATCATGGATAATCCATCGGTCATAACAGTTTTTACAAAATTCAATTATTTTAGCGTCAGCATAATGAAAAGATACATGAACGCAATAGTTTTCAGAAATGATCCCCCACCTCACACGACAATTACACCTTTGACAATTATTTTGGATTTGAACATGAAGGTAACGAGGGTTCAAAAGATGTCGACTTACATCATTGAGGTTGAAAATATAGAGCCAACATTAAGAAGCGTATCATACGACGTGACTTTTTAACAATTTTTTAGTGTCCTCGCCCGCGCTCTCAACCTAACTGTCAATAATACTAGGGAGAGTGATACATGGACGGTCCACAACTCCATGTCTGGTACCAGCGTAGGCGTTTCGAGCAAGCACACTGTTTTTACTGATACGAAACAAAAGAGAACTGAAGTGATAAATCATTCAAGAAATTTAACAATAGAGCAAGAGCTCACATTTTTAGGGCTATATCAGCTTCAGGAAAGTAACTCAAAGTTTCAAAATAATCCAATTATGGTCCAAGAAAGGTCCTGGCGTGTTTTACATTTTCAGCATAATGATGGAGCCGAAATTTTTCAGCATGTAAATGTTAACTCCAGTAGCATTATACAAATAAATAATATTAAGTACGATGTTCAGGGGGTCAATATCCGTGCTTTGTTCAGTGAAAGTATAGACGAGGCAGAACTACTTCGCTTTGAATCAGATCAGACTGTCCCCATTTACATTGAAAAGCCTCTGCATGAAATACAAATATCTGTAGATCAGGATTATATTTATTTGAATAATGTTTCAATCTACACAGGAGATGAAACAGACTTAGTTTGTCAAGAATCGTCCGGAGAACAACTGACTTTAAATGTTGGTGTCTCCCGACATTTAAATAATGAAATAGACTACGATTTCGATTCTCGTAGATAAAAGAGAAGTGTAGATTACATTGACTCACATTTTCACGTTAAAAATTCTGCCCCAACAGCACCATCGCTGATAAATTTAACATGCAACTCCTTAGCACAGATGATCGTCCAAGCGAGAGAAAAGTTAAAAAGATTTCTGACGTATGAACCAAATGTTACTTTGAGGGACTGGGGGCTGCATGATACCAATGTCAATAACATAACAGTGGTGGTATCTCCTACTATTCATGAGACTAATTTCGACTACTTAAACGACGGAATTATCAAAATTAATTATCAACGGGATCCCACCAACTTTCGTGGAGAGAACACCATCAGAAACTTACAGTGTGATTAACAACTCGACGGGTCACTGATGCTCATTGATTAAATTGTTAGGAGCATCCGGAAAGTTTTTTTAGTCATGAAGCAGACGCAGCTCCATAAATCAAATTTAGATTTTTTGACGAGTCACAAGCAAAAAATCTTCTAACTCTGGAAGTAGAATGTATACAGAGTCATTTGAGCTACTACCTTGTTCCGAAAGGTCTAGAGATAAAAAAAAAAAAAAAACAGTTTGTATTACAGTATATTCTAGCAGCATTACTTGCATTGATACCGGTTTTTCCCATCTTGTCAAGTGTGTGGTTTCCTCTATTTCTTATGCAGATTCATCAGGGGATCAAATCCACAAAGCGGCACTTCAGGTTAAATGTGTCACCTTTCCAGCTGCTTGGTTCTTCTGGTGCGATTCTTCTGATAGAAGCATTTCTGAGTTCCTTGAGTGCTTCGCGGATGAGAGAAGGAAAAATGTTCCTGCAACAGAGGAGAAGTAGGGCGAATTAATTCAGTGACATTGAAGGAGGGGGCAAGATTGACTTCCATGCGGTTGTAAATATCTTCCTTTCCTTTAACTATTCTTAGTTTTGAGCTGTTATCACTGCCCAGGAATCTATACGAGTAATTTATTATACTCCTTCTAATTAGGTATGTATGGATTTTGTTTCTGTTCTGTTCAGTTACTATGCTTACTATTTTGTTCTTGTCTTTGATAATCAACTCTTATTTTTCTCGAATGTAACTTGAAATTGTAACAATAGTAAATATTTATAAATCCTGTCCACTAAATTTAATGTAATGCTCTGAAGATGGTTTCAGTCCTGAAATGCATTAGCTCTTATGTAAAAATAAAAAATTCATCTTTGGTTAAGAATTTAAGGATTACTAAATATAGATTCATGTGAAAAGAGTAAAATTTACAGTGAAGTAGGGGAGAGGCGGGCAACGTGGAATTGGGCCTATTAAAAAAATCTGTCCGTCCTACTAGAGAGGGTATCCATCTGTTAGAAACTGTTTCTATGCAAAAAGCAATAACATAACCAATAAAGAATGACGTTAATAGAGGCGTTTGAGTTTAGCAGAGATTCCTTCTTGGCTCGGAAGGATTGGGTTGACAAAAATCCTGCCGCAGATCATCAGTAAGCAAGAGCGTGTCACCGATGCGTCTCTACTCTCAGCTCTAGTGGAGAAAGAAAGAACTTTATCTGCCTTATGTACTGGCAATTACGCCTGCCCTTGCAGCTAGCCGGTGGGTCCTGGCGGCTAGGTGCCTGGACCTTGATATGTACGTCACGGGTTCGCGCCCACAGTTGGGAAAAGTTTTACTGCCCAGATTTTATTTTTAAGTGCCGCGTAGGGCATCGAAGGGTTATTTTTTCCAAAAAATAAAAGTGAGGGTTGCATTTTGATTGAAACGTAATTAAAAAGGGCTCCTCTTGCTTCAGAGAAAATTCTGGATCCAAGGTCCAGGTCCAGGGTCCCTGTATAAGGGTATACAGGGGCCGTACAATAAACTTGTTTTTACTTGGAGGAGAAAGCAGACTCCAGACAGAAATTAATGTAACATAGTGTTCAGTTAACATCCTTTAGAATAAATTACGTAAGACCTTTTCCCCATTTTTAGGCCCCCCATACTTCTCCTTGTGCAGCACCGTAAGGCATCCCTTAACCCCCCCGCCTCCTCTAAAAATTACGTAAGGCTCGAATAACCCCCCCCCTTTTTTTTTCTCAGTTACCTATCGTAGATCGAAGCATTACGTTTCCCGTTAGAAAACAATGAAATTTTTAAGCCACAATTTTTATAAGTGAAACTAAATTTCTGGAGTAAGTTCACAGGAAAGATTCATGATATAATTAGTTTATATTAAACAAAAATACGGAGCAAAATTGAAGATTTTTTTGGCCTTGAGAGTAAATAGTTAAAAGGACAAAGTTGACGTATAGTCCAGGCAATAAAGGATTTTACCTTGCAAAATTTAGGTGAAATCAGGTTATGATTGATTCCTATGTAATTTTTTACGCTGAATCCGAATTTTTGGTTTCCCAACAAATTTTCCTTGTGCTAACTCCGGAAAATCGGAAAAACCGCGAAAAATCACGTTTTTCCGCGGTTTTCCCGAGATATCTCTTTTCCAGTGCGATATATCGAGAAAATAGTTATTTCCAGAAATAGAGTTGATAAAATTTCCTATAAAAATGATCCGAACGTTTTTTTCATACGTCCATTAGGGAGAGTGCTGGAGCCGTGGAAAGCTCTAAAAACTCGTAAAATCGCGATTTTCCACGGTTTTTCGCCATTTGTGTGCAATAAATTTGTTCTTTCGCAAAATTTCAGGATAGTCTTACCTTAAAAATTGATGCTGCTTACTTTTAAGACAAAAATGATGCCAATTTTTTCTTTTTGGGTCCATTGGGAGCGGTTTTTTAGCCGTGAAAAGCTCGAAAATCGCGATTTTCCGGCATATTTTCGTAACAAATCCGTTCCTGTATAAAAAACTCATTTAAAGTGACTTCAAAATTCAATCTTATAAAATTGTCAACATACATACGTAGAATTTGCTCCCATGGCGCGCCCTCGTGCTCTGCGACATCCAAACGCCAGGTGTGCTTATCTACGTAAAGGTTAGTAGACAACGAACGACGTAATAAAATAGTGCAATTTTCAACATACTTAAATGACGTTGAAATTTCCTTGTATATCTGAAGAAACAACGGATATGGTTGGATGGAATGATGTTGTAATAGTGCAATCCTGCATTAATTACGCTTTCGACAAATCCATATCGTGAATAATGCAAAAAGTTGAAATTTAAAGAATGTATTACTACAATTTCTGAAATGATTTTTCTAGATTTGTGGCATATTTTCGTTACACATCCGTTCTTGTGCCAAAAACTCAGCTAATGGAGACTTCAAGATTTAATCTTATAAAATTGTCAACACATAATATGACGTGAAAAGTTTTAGCATGGGTCAAAAAGTGCCGCATAGAGAATTATGGGTAGCTCAAAAAATGCGAAAAATTGTGATTTTTTTTCCACTTTTAAGCCACAAATTAATCATCTTGTGTAAAAATATGGGGCTAAAAATATACCTCAAAAATTTAAAATTCAATGTGATGATGTTTTCGGTGGATTAAATTGCACAATTATGTGTCGAAATTTTAATGGTACATGTGAGAATGCACTCGATGAGGACTTATCCGTGGAACTTATCGTAGATGATCCTGATGATTTATGGAATATACTCCTGAATCGTTCACAGAAAGAACAGCGGACGACCGAATGAGTTGAAAGAAGTTTGGAGACGTTTGCAGGTATTAACCCTTTGTTGCATGAGCTAATCGTTGATTTTGGTGAGAAAATCTACATTGTAGAGTATTTTTTCGACGATACAGTAAGTTGAAATCGATTTTTGTAGTAATTTTTTAAGTTAGGAGATCAGACTTATAATGCTCCCCAAAATTCATTTCTTGCTTTGATTCAATTTAATACTCCAGCATAGAAATAAAGCTGAAAACCATTTGTTGCTTTCATGCAACGCTATTCAATAAAGGGTTAATTTCACTCAATTTTTTTTTAATTTTTATTTGAATTGATAGACATGGCCAGTGATGCTTAAAAAAATGTACTCATTGACTTCATATACCGCAGAAATTCAAATCACGGTTTCTTCCACTTCGGTTTTATCAGTGATGTAAATGAAGCGA